ATGTTCCTATAAACGAGACAGTGTAAATAAAATGAATCCCCGCCAAGTGAAATTCTAACAGTTGTCATGGTTACAAAAGGTTAAATAAGTAAAACTTAAAAACTTAAAAAAATCATCTTCTCTAAATTCACAAAGGCTAGAGGTTAGATATTTTGCATGAAACATTGTGTAGTGAACTTTTAGCAAGATCGTACAAATTATAGCCCTGGGGTCAAAATTGGCCCCGCCCCGGGGGTCATTGGTTTTCACTATGTACATCTAGTAAAAAATTAAAAAAACTTCTTGTCTGAAGGTACAAGGCTTAGAGCTTTGATATTTGGTCAATGATATCATCTATAGGTACTCTACCAAAGTTGTTCAAATTTTGCCTCTAGTGTCAAAACTAGCCCCGCCCTGGGGGTCATAGGTTTTCCTTACATGTATATAGTAAAAACTTTAAAAAAATCTTCTCTAATTGACAAAGGCTAGAGGTTAGACATTTTGCATTAAACATTGTGTAGTGAACCTCTAGCAAGATTATTCAAATTAAAGCCCTGGGATCAAAATTGGCCCCGCCCCTGGGGATCATTGATTTTCAGTAACTATGTCTTAATCAAATTTTATGATCACATCCGTGTTATTTGTGCCGTGTGGCGGCTGTAAAAAGTCTCCCCGTACATTTAATCAATGATGTTATATTTTCGATCCTTGAAGATCGTTCAGCACGACATTATTGTTGTGCTTATGGTATTTTTAATTTCAACTTTTCGGCATTTTCTAGTTGGGTGGTTCCATTATTCCTACTTGAATAATGTTGAATCACCCTTAGGATATGTTGTCTGCTTTTTAAATTTGTCTTTTGACGTCTTATCTGTGATATGCAGGCTTCATAACCTCTGATCCCCTTTCAAAATTCCATTTTATTTAGTTCTGCCCATTGTTTTCTCGTTTAGGGCACACGCTTTTTATTACTTGGGGACCATACGCCGCTTTTCATGGAATGGCACGGAAGTGTCACATTGAAGGTTCCATGATAACCGCCGTATGAACACATCTGCGGATGTTTCTAAATTCAAAATTTTACTATTTCATGTTTAAATGTTGAATTCTGCTTAAGCCGGTGCTAGGGGGCGTGGACGGTAACTTGCACTTTCCAGTACCGTCCATGAACAGGCTCAATCAAACCAAGCCTGCAACATTTTCAATTTTGCCGTGTTGGGCTTTCTTTAGGGATTCTGTATTTATCTATTTTAAAGTAAAAAAATTAAAAATTTTATTTCTGAAGGTACTAATTTGATAATAACAGATAAGAAAGTGATCTATGCATTATGGCAATCTGTATAAAAAACAAAAAATATGTGTTCCTACATTACTATTTAGTGTTGTATTTATGCGGTGGCATGGCACTTTTTACAAATGCAATCTTGTTATTTTGAAGTTTATGGTTTTTTCCCTTACATGTAAAAAATATTACACTTGTCTAGATTCTTCTATATTCTATGTACAATAGTGTAAAAGTTAGTTGTTTAGAGTGGATACTGTCACCTTTTTAAAGGCCCATTATGCCCAGAAAAATGCTTTTGTCTTTATTTCTCAAAAGCTTTTAATTTTTGTTGTCCTGTTATAATTACGAAAAAGTTGCTCACTGGACAATTACCTGAACCATCTTTTGCTTCTGTTACTTTAAAGAAATCAGAACAGTTAAAGTGGTTAAGTATTTTTAAGAATATTTTAAGGAAGTGAAAATACTACTTTGTTTACATTTAGGTACTTTTATGACGAATATCTTCCCATTCAGCAGACATAGATAACTATCTACATCTCTGGTGAGAAATGTCTAACATCTTAAAGGCACATTATGCCTTAAAAACAAATACATTTTTCCTCCTTTAGAAAGACCAAAGATGAGTTTTATAACTATTAATTTATTAATTACATATATAGATGCTTATCATCTACAGAAATAGCATTTTATGATTTTTTTTGGTCATGAAAATAATAGAATGTAAACAAAATAGTATTTTGACTTCCATACAAAATACTAAGTACCTGTAATTGTACTACTTTCCAAAAAGCTACAGCAACAAAAGATGGTTCTGAGAATTGGCACCAAAAGATATAAAAATAAAAGAATTTCTGGGGCACAATGGGCCTTTAAACCACAATTTAAATGTTATGAAACTCATGTTTGCACTTTCTTAAGAAAGAAAAAGGTGTTTGTTTCTGAAGTATAATGTGCCTGTAAAACATAATTACACTTATCTTAAACAATAATCTTGATATTATTTAATAGATAATTAATAATAATTGCCCTAACAATCTCTCATAGATAATTGATGATCAATTGTGTATTGCAGTCAAATGAAACATTTATTTTCATGTTCATTTATCATACTTGGAGGCAAAGATTCAAGACAATTTAGTGCTTGGTGGCGGTAGTGATTAAAGACCTTCGTTATTTCACCAACATGAAATTAATCATGTTTGTTAAAATTTTGTAACATGTTTTAATTAAGCATCTTTATAGAGGTAATTTTAAATATTTCCAGATGTCGGTCAATATTCTTTTTGTATTACTTTTTTAGCTCACCTGTCACAAAGTGACAGGGTGAGCTTTTGTGATCACTTTTCGTCCGGCGTCCGTCCGGCGTCCGTCCGTCGTCCGTAAACTTTTTCTTTAAATGACATCTCCTCATAAACCACTAAGCCAATTTCATCCAAACTTCACAGGAATGTTCCTTTGGTGGTCACCTTTAAAAATTGTTCAAAGAATTTAATTCCATGCAGAACTCTGGTTGCCATGGCAACCAAAAGAAAAAACTTTAAATATCTTCTTTTAAAAAACCATAAGAGCTAGAGCTTAGATATTTGGCATGAAACATCTTCTAGTGAGTGTCTTCCAAGTTTGTTCAAATAAAAGGCCTGGGGTCAAAATTGGCCCCGCCCCGGGGGGTCATTGATTTTCCCTATATGCATATAGTAAAAACTTAAAAAATCTTCTTTTAAAGAACTCAAAGAGCTATGGCTAAGATATTGAGCATCAAACATGTTCTAATGGGTGTCTACCAAGTTTGTTCAAATAAAAGCCCTGAGGTCAAAATTGGCACCGCCCCAGGGGGTCATTGATTTTCCCTATATGCATATAGTTAAAACTTAAAAAATCTTCTTTTAAAGAACCAAAAGAGTTAGAGCTAAGATATTTAGCATGAAACATGTTATAATAAGTGTCTACCAAGTTTGTTCAAATAAAAGCCCTGGGGTCAAAATTGGCCCCGCCCCGGGGGGTCATTGATTTTCCCTATATGCATATAGTAAAAACCTAAAAATCTTCGTTTAAAGAACTCAAAGAGCTAGAGCTAAGATATTTAGCATCAAACATGTTCTAATAGGTGTCTACCAAGTTTGTTCAAATAAAAGCCCTGTGGTCAAAATTGGCCCCGCCCCGGGGGTCATTGATTTTCCTTATATGTGTATAGCAAAAACTTAAAAAATCTTCTTTGAAAAAAACCCAAATAGCTAGAGTTTAGATATTAAGCATGAAAAATCTTTTACTGAGTGTCTACAAAATTTGTTCAAATATAAAAGACCTGGGGTCAAAATTGGCCGGCCCCGGGGGTCACTGATTTTCCTTATATGTGTATAGCAAAAAACTTAAAATCTTCTTTGAAAAAACCCAAATAGCTAGAGTTTAGATATTCAGCATGAAACATCTTCTAGTAAGTGTCTACAAAGTTTGTTCAAATAAAAGCCCTGGGGTCAAAACTGGCCCCGCCCCAGGGGTGTCATTGTTTTTAACTATATGTGTATAGTAAAAACTTTAAAAAAATCTTCTTTTAAAAAGCCCAATGAGCTAGAGCTTAGATGTTTAGCATGAAACATCTTCTTATGGGTGTCTACCAAGTTTGTGCAAATAAAAGCCCTTGAGTTAAATTGGCCCTGCAACATTGGGGGGGGGGGGGGGCTATATACAGGTGAGCGACCTCAGGGCCATCATGGCCCTCTTGTCTTATTTTTATGGACAAACAATTGCAGAAATTATCCTTGGTGAAATAAACAACTTTAGGGGATTTGTGGACCATGTAAAAATATGGGAGTGGTATTGTCCAGGTTGTCAAAAATAAATGTGAGAGGAATTGTCCAGGATGTGTATTATTCCAGATACCCGTTGGTAGCTACAGATAAATAAAAAAAATCGAATTTGTTCCTGGAATCATCCAGTTTTAAGAAATGAATGTGAAGTTTCTTGCTCAAGGAAATAACAGCTTGCATCTAACAGGGTTTGAACCCATGCGGTCAGCAATCCTTAGATTACTGGTCTTCACATTAACTATTCAGCCATGCTGCCACTAAAGATTTGCATTGACTTGATAAGTTGTACATAGAATGTCAAATATGAGAATCAGTTATCGGTGCATAAATTATGTTTACTATAACTAATAAGTTTATAGGAGTATGTTCTCTAGAGCATTGAAAAAAACCTTTAATACCAGTAGTTATATCAATATGTTATCTAAGTTGTCCTATCTGATATGTTACATTATCTAAGTTATTGTGACATTCTTATTTAATATGTTATATTATTTAACTTACTATGTCTGCCAGCATTGCTGAATAGGGACAGCATGAGATGAGTAATAGTAGGGTTGCAAGTTTGATCCTCTAGCGAGGCGTAATTATAACATTGAGTTTTATGACCATTTGTCTCTCACTGCTGCTTCAAAAATCATGTTGGATTAGAAGTAGATAATTACTGGTTAGTTATCCTGGTTAGCCAGTTAGGTTGCATCAACGGCCAAGATATGACCAAAACATTAAAATTGGCATAAAAAAAACGGAAAACAAACAAACAATCTATACAAACTAATTGTGATCATCTTATTTCAGAGACCAGAAAAAAAATTGGTCAATGAACAACAATTAGAAACTACTATAAATCTTTACAGAATGAGCTAATTTGTTCATTGAAAGTGAGAATACGTACAAATGGTCTGTGAAATAAAGGCAATATAATATGTTTTCAGACCATAGCTTACGACAAGACCTCACAGGCGGTACAGAGACGCATAAAGTTTGTCTTAAAGAATCCTCAGACAGAAGCCAATTTACTAGTATATTATCGGGAAGCCATGCAGGACGAGGTAAGAGTTATTGTCGTCTGCTGCAACACATTTAATCCAGTCTGTTTCAGCATATAGAACCCATTCTGCTACAGATATTAACATTTAATTACATATAATTGTAACTTGCACCCCAGGGGTTTCTTTAATATAGAAGTAAATGACAAAAGTTTTATTCATGATGTAAAGGGCTTGACTAAATAAAAATAACATTATTGACACTCAGACAATATATTCTCATTCTTTCGTCTATAAAATGACTAGGTCTCAAAGTGTTTCTGCAAATTTATATTTTAGAGCTACAGAACATTAGTATACAAGTTTGTCAAATGGCTTATAGGATGACAAGATAAAAAGTCAACACAATTTATCAAAATATTTTTCACTTGAATAAGCTTCATCAGTTGATATGATGAATAACAAAAGAAATGACGTAAACACACCAAACAGACGTCTACGTTAATAGACGCCACATTAAAGAAACGTTATATAATAAAATAAATCCTCTATTACTGTTTTATACAATAAGATATGTACATGTGTATATATACAAGTAATTATTTGAAATAGCACATATAATTCTCAAAATGATTTACATATAAAACAACTGGATTAAAAGATGCAAACATTTCACAGAGAAACTAAGCTAGTTAATAAATTCAACAAGTGTGAAAATAACAGTTTCTTATGTGAAACAGAAAGTTAAGAATTTCAAAAATACTTGATTTAATCACATTTTGAAATTGTAAAAAGGGAAATAATAATTCAGAATGCACTGCTATCATTTAGTTGTATATCTTAAAAGGCTTTTTTAAAGCTAAAAAAAATATCTGACTATTATCTATGCAAGTTAGGCATTATGTTCAAAATTAATTTATGTAATAGAAAAAATCCAAAGACCATATGAGTACATAATGAATTATGGCTTAAACAATTTCTAATTTATTGTGATAAACCTTCTGTACTTTACAAATATATAAATTTTATAATTTGGTGTTGAAATTTTGGTCCTGGCAGATACACTAGAATACTATCATGTATTAACCCTTTCCCTCATGAGCATATTGTGAAAAATGGCCGTTTTCACTGAAAACAGAAAAGCCTCCTGTTACAAGTTCAAACTGCTATGAAACTATGAAAAATGCTTCAATACTAATCAAAGTTGGCACAAATGTTGACTGGTCCATTGCCTTTGTAATGACATGCTCAGTCTTAAATTTCCTGTTACCATGGCAACGAGGGGACATCTCAAAATTGCCAAAAATCACTATTTTGCCTCGATTTTTTCCATCAAAATTTATTTCAAAGTGCTGCAACTTCTCAAGGGATTGAGATAGAGTCAAAGGCTTTTCAGCGTTGGTTACACGTTACCTTATGATCTGGGGTCATTTTTAGCCTCCCACAAGTCCAAAATTTTCTTGGCGATGAGGGGGCCTCCGCCCCCCTTCAAACCCCACAAACAGAAGGGGGCACATCCCCCTTCTGGCAACCCCCTGATGTATCTTTTGGATGGGGGGTGGCGCTGAAAAAGTACTCACTTTTTTTAGCAACATTTCTCAAAAGAAAACATGTGTTTGGGGCCCAAATACGACATTTTTTCACTATTTCAGGACTAAAAAGGGGGGGGGGTAGAAAGTGCGTTGTTTCGCGTAAATTGTTGCCGATGTTATCTCCTCACAGCAGTTTTTAACAGTTACCTGCAGATTTGTATGGTTTAAGAGAAAAAATATTGTTGAGCTTAAATTAAGATTAAAGCTGATTATTTTGATATTATATATATAAGAAAAAATTCATTTACAAATTGTCACCTAGAAATTGTAGCCTTTGGTACTGTCTAGTAGATGATAATTGTAAAAGTAAAGCAGTTTTCACAGGGCAGTTTATAGTTGCTGTCAGGATATTGTTTTATTATCTCCAGACAGTCAACTTTTCCCTCCTGTGAACAGAAATGGACATTGCAACTTACAAAATTGTCATCTGCTGTATTAAAGTGCCATTTTGTCTGTTATAAAATCATATTATATTGTTGTCTGTTTTTCAGGTTGTGTCCATTTTATGTCTGCTAGAAAAGTTTATTTGATATAAACATCAGCTGTAAAATTCCTAAACTACAAATAAAATACTTGACTTTGTTATCTGTTTCAATAATAAACTTGTAAAGTGTCAGTTTATGTTACACTTTGTTAAAGATAATGTGGGGGCGTCCATGGCCAAGTGGTTACGGTTGTTGACTTCAAACCACTTGCTCCTCACTGCTGTAGGTTCAAATCCCGACAGGGACTTTGGATTCTTTCATTTTAGGAAGCTATCTAGCTAGCTTGCGGAACTGGATTTTTGGAATGAGTTGAATAAAATTATATCATGCGAGCCTCTAGCAAGCATAATATTATTTTATTCAATGAGTTCAATAAAGTCAACAATGAACCTTTACAAATTTTCTATTTATCACATACCCAATATAAAGACTGTTTAAAGTGAAAAGGAATCGTTTATTCATTGACGTGCCTATAGTGTAACTCTAACAAAAATTTTTAGGGCATTATTACACTAGTTCCAGTACTTTGATTTAATGCGAGAAATATTTGCTATAACATTGGTGCTGTAATTTTATTATGTAGATGCCAGTCAATATAGCTATATAGCTGAGAAATGCTTAACAATTGCATCTTGATTTTCCAACCTAAATAACAAGCATGAATTGTCCTTACTGTAATCTTTGATCACTGAAATGTTACAGATTGTCTTCTTTTTACTTCTTGAAATCACTAGAATTGACTTCTTACAAAATGTATCAAACTGTACAATGTGTCAGACATTTGCTTTTATCTTGATCCTTGGAGGTAAATAAAGTTAAATGATAGCTAATTTATTAATAGCTTTAGTTAATTAAATATCCTCCAGTTTTCTTCACATTTTATAAAATAATATTATAAAAGCAAGTGTCCTTCCCATATTTAGTAGATGTTAACATTTTTTTATGATAGATGTATTAGAAATTAAGTTTATGAACAACTTGTGTATTTCTATTTATCTTTTCAGTTTGTATTGACAAATTATGTTTCAAAGGAGTTTGTCTTGACTGACACAGATTTAGAACCGAAGTTTAGAAAACTGGTGGAATATCTTCTAGATAAGTTTAAGTAAGTAGTGAGGTTTTAGGATAATTTCTGTACGATTTATCATGCATATTTATAATCTTCATGCATTGTAGTCACTGGACCTTGACATATTTTTTGTCCTTCATCATCTATATATAGCTGTAAACTGACTTCTTTCTTAAACTTGTATAATATGTTGTACTGTACACATCAATTTTCTTTTAATCTGTGAAGTGCTGTCAACAATGATTGGCCAATCATACCAGTACAGAACCAGACTAACTTACTACCAATATAGAGCCACATTTATTTACTACCAGTACAGAGCCAGGATTGCCTACTACCAGTATAAAGCCAGACTGACTTACTACTAGTATATAGCCAGACTGACTTACTACCAGTATAGACTTACTACCAATATAGAACCAGACTGACTTACTACCAGTCTAAAACCAGACTGACTTACTACCAATATAGAGCCAGATTGACTTCCTACCAGTAAAGAGCCAGGATGGGCTACTACCACTGACTTACTACCGGTATAGACTTACTACCAAGATAGAACCAGACTGACTTACTCACCAGTATAGATCCCCCAGTATAGAGCCAGACTGACTTACTACCAGTATAGAGCCAGACTGACTTACTACCAGTATAAAACCAGACTCACTTACTACCAATATAGAGCCAGACTGACTTCCTACCAGTATAGATCCCCCAGTATAGAGCCAGACTCACTTACTACCAGTATAAAGCCAGACTGACTTACTACCGGTATAAAACCAGACTGATTTACTACCAGTATAAAGCCAGACTTACTTACTACCAGTATAAAGCCAGAATGACTTACTACCAGTATAAAGCCAGACTGACTTACTACCGGTATAAAACCAGACTGATTTACTACCAGTATAAAGCCAGACTCACTTACTACCAGTATAAAGCCAGAATGACTTACTACCAGTATAGACTTACTACCAATATAGAACCAGACTGACTTACTGCCAGTATAAAGCCAGACTTACTTACTACCAGTTATAGACTTACTACCAATATGAACCAGACTGACTTACTGCCAGTATAAAGCCAGACTTACTTACTACCAGTATAAAGCCAGAATGACTTACTACCAGTATAAAGCCAGACTGACTTACTACCGGTATAAAACCAGACTGATTTACTACCAGTATAAAGCCAGACTCACTTACTACCAGTATAAAGCCAGACTGACTAACTACCAGTATAAAGCCAGAATGACTTACTACCAGTATAGAACCAGACTGACTTACTACCAATATAGAACCAGACTGACTTACTACCAGTATAAAACCAGACTTACTTACTACCAGTATAGACTTACTACCAATATAGAACCAGACTGACTTACTGCCAGTATAAAGCCATACTGACTTACTACCAGTATAAAACCAGACTCACTTACTACCAATATAGAGCCAGACTGACTTACTACCAGTATAGAGCCGGGATGGGCTTCTACCAGTATAAAGCCAGACTGACTTACTACAGTACAGATAACGAGGAATATGCAAAATCCTCCGAGGATCGAGGAAAACACTCGCAACTCCGCGAGAGTATTTGTCCATAAAAACGAGTGACTCCGTGTGAAAAACGTGTGATGAGAGTGACTCCGAGACGAAAATAAAAGCGCGTGACTCCGAGAGAGAATTACCGCGTAACTCCGTGTCGGTGTCTAGCTGGTGTAAATAAATGCAAGTGCAATCTCATTTTATATTTAATTTAATTATTTAGATTACCATTCGAAAATAAAGATGATTTTTAGGGTTGTTGTTTTCAATTTACCCTGAAACAGTTGAAAGGTACATTTGATTTGAAAAAATCACTACCGTAAGCGTCATCAGTTCTCAAGTTTATTTTTATCCCGATTAATTAAGTCAGTAGCAATAACCACAGGAACCTGAAATTTTATCAAAAACAAAAAACGATTTAAAAAATCCATATAATAACGGCCCAACTATTTTTTATTCTTCTTTAAGAAATAAATTTATTATATAAACTTCTTAATCTTAAATGTTTCTAAATGCATCAAATACCGATAACGTGCCGTTCTAATTTATTTCAGGTGCCAAATATTGTGTTGTGTTTTTTTTTTCAATGTGGAAAATTAGTTTCGATCTTCATAATATTTTAATCATTGTGCACATCAAAAAAATTGACTTTCCCAACTTTTATATTGGTTTGTATAGTTTTAAAAATTGTCATGTACGTTTCTTCATAATCCATTGTTTACATGTATTTTAGTTACGTGTCAACCTGTCACATCCGCCGTTTTAATTAGAAGACTCTTGATTTATATATAATTTTTGAGAATTAACATTAACTTAATCGTTTCTAAATAAAGCTGCTTAAAAATTAGTAATATATTGTTGTAATTTTATTCCAAGAATATCTCCGAAAATCTGTCGGTCTCATTCTGTTATCAAAGTCATATGTAGCATTCTAATATGTAGATGTATGTTGATATTGGAATCAAAAGTAAATTGTCTTGTGATGATCATTAATAAATTAAGATTTTTTGTTTTTTATTTCAGGCATAATGGAGGAATTCAAGAGTTATAGAGGTGTTAACAAAGGCCGTTCAACTTACCTAGCGCACTGCTCCCGTAATTCATTCACCTGTAATCAGCATTACAAAGATTGACAAAAAATAAAAACAGCAAAGAATAAAATGATCATTTTATTTGCCTTTTTGTTTTATTTGTTTATGGTTTGTACATCATCTATATCATGTCATTTTATAAAAATAAAAAACAGTTTTGACAAAGATTAAACACGTACATGTACTGTTCATAGACGATAAAACAATATTTTTATAATAGCATATGAACATATTTGATCGTCACAGCAAGCGGGCATGCATTGTATATGTACGTATGTGGATTGAAAAAGACCGCCATGCCTTTAAAAATCACTGCCAATCTCAATGTTCTTGTTTTATAATTCATGGTTTTATTTTTGAGACGACGTACGCAGCGCCTGTTGTTTTGCCCCTGCAAACATCGGTAGAATTTCATAAATGAATTCCTTAATGTTGTCCTTTCTTGTGCTGCCAACATCGGTAGAATTGCCTAGCAAATCGAACTTCTTAACTCTGTTCTATATTGTTCTGAAAGCAATAGTAAAATAAATTTAAACATTAATGTTAAAAGCAGGACTGTACATGCCGACATAGGGTGTCGCTGTTTTGGCTAGTACATTGTATGGAATGATGTATTATATCTCGTATTTCACGGATTTTTTATCAACCAACAATTAAAAGGAGACGTACATGTACTTCACATGCAAAAAAGAAGCTCATCTATATTTTCTTATTTTAGAATACTAAATTAAATAGGTTTTTGACACTGCGCGTTACGGGAATTGCGGGAAATCATCGGTTATTCTTTCCTTTAATTAATTAATGAATCAAGTGTGTCTACTTTCGTTTTCACTTGTGATACTTTACATCAACGAAGAATTTTCGACAACATTGTTATTTTGAATGAATAATACGTGCGTTGAAGGATTTTATTTTAGAGGTAGAGCATTATATTAATTAATAAATAAATAAAGCATACGTGTACCAAATCAGTCTTATTTTCTCGGAGTCACTCTTTTTGACTCGGAGATTCACGGAGTCCCGCAGACAAAATTGTCACTCGTTTTTGTCTCGGAGTCACTCTTTTTCACCCGAGAAATTTATAATCCACTCAGAGTCACGCTTTTTGAGATTACTCGATACTCGCAGAAATTTGCATATTCCTCGATATCTGTACTGTACCAGTATAGAACCAGACTGACTTACTACCAGTATAAAACCAGACTGACTTACTACCAGTATAAAGCCAGACTGACTTACTACCAGTATAGAACCAGACTGACTTACTACCAGTATAAAACCAAACTGACTTACTACCAGTATAAAGCCAGACTGACTTACTACCAGTATAAAGCCAGACTGACTTACTACCAGTATAAAGCCAGACTGACTTACTACCAGTATAAAGCCAGACTGACTTACTACCAGTATAATACCAGACTGACTTACTACCAGTATAGAACCAGACTGACTTACTACCAGTATAGAACCAGACTGACTTACTACCAGTATAAAGCCAGACTGACTTACTACCAGTATAAAGCCAGATTGACTTACTACCAGTATAAAGCCAGACTGACTTAGTACCAGTATAGAGCCAGACTGACTTACTACCAGTATAAAACCAGACTGACTTACTACCAGTATAAAACCAGACTGTAACTTCCAGTATAAAACCAGACTGACTTACTACCAGTATAGACTTACTACCAATATAGAACCAGACGGACTTACTACCAGTATAAAGCCAGACTGACTTACTACCAGTATAAAACCAGACTGACTTACTACCAGTATAAAGCCAGACTGACTTACTACCAGTATAGAGCTGGGATGGGCTTCTACCAGTATAAAACCAGACTGACTTACTACCAGTATCAAGCCAGACTGACTTACCAGTTAAGAGTCAGACCAACTTACCATCAATATAGAGTTACTAACAACATTGACCCTGACTGGCCTACTTCCAGTACAAAACCAGGTTGGTATGCTACTAATACAGGATAAGATTGACTGACTTACTACCAGTATAAAGCCAGACTGACTTACTACCAGTATAAAGCCAGATTGACTTACTACCAGTATAAAGCCAGACTGACTTACTACCAGTATAGAGCCAGACTGACTTACTACCAGTATAAAACCAGACTGACTTACTACCAGTATAAAACCAGACTGTAACTTCCAGTATAAAACCAGACTGACTTACTACCAGTATAGACTTACTACCAATATAGAACCAGACGGACTTACTACCAGTATAAAGCCAGACTGACTTACTACCAGTATAAAACCAGACTGACTTACTACCAGTATAAAGCCAGACTGACTTACTACCAGTATAGAGCCGGGATGGGCTTCTACCAGTATAAAACCAGACTGACTTACTACCAGTATCAAGCCAGACTGACTTACCAGTTAAGAG